GCGAAGCTAGAAGTGTCCGATCGGGCTTGGGTTTTAAAATATCAGCTCGAGTGCGACAAAGTTCAGTGACTTCAAACACATTGTGGACAAACTTGAATTTCTTTGGGCAGATTATTATACAAAGATATTTTGTTTTTGTGTCCACGGTGGAGCTCCGGACCTTATATATCCAGGAACTTCCTTTTATGAACACATTTTGTAAATGCATCTTGAAAAAAATCGGACTTACGCACGCACATTTCCAGTACAACTCAAGGAAATTAGTAAATGTCATTAAAGTCCGTTTTACTATGATGTATTCTTCGAGAAAATTAAATAATAAGAAGGTTATAACCACAGCTTGCAACTTTTGGAGACAAATTGCCTGTTCTTTCCGCCGCACAAACCACTTCTGCGCCAAGTCGCGCAACTCGAAAAACTCTGTTTTGAATTTCCCGCTTTTTTTCACCTGACCAACATTGACGTCACAAGCTGTTTTTTCCGACAATTTTTACGACCGCTCTACGATAGACTACGAGTAGTCCCCCATTTTTCCTCAGGGATAGTAGAGCTAGCAAAACGCGAGCGCGCGTGAAAATCAACCCACGCGAGAAAAGGCGACACGCGGCGGGGAGAGAGATGTTTTTATCCAGCGTCGTCCTCTGATATACTGGCTGCATGTCATTAACTACAAAGATCACAAGTTCTTTTATTATTTTGTGTCAGTTGACTATAGCTAAGTGAACAACCTTGACAATCGACCAACTTACAAGTGCAGCAAGGGTTGTTTAAGCAGTCACAAGAGAAAGAGAAGAGATGTGACATGTGACCACATAGGACGTGAAGAGAGAACATCCAAAGTCATTCTCACACGCGGACCCCTGCTGATTAAAGAAAAAGAAATCCAAGCTTCTAATCGAAAAGGTTAATTATTAGAAAAAAGTTACGTTGTTAATTTCTGAGTATGAGGTCTAGGGCCGGGTTGTTCAGTCGAAAGCCGGTTAACGTTAACGCAGGGTTAAACGTTAACTAAAGCATTATGTTTTCTTGTTTAAAAATGTTTTTCACCTCTAATGTTTGGTGTAGTTTGAAAGTTCTACAGCCCAAAATTGAAGGGGAAACAATATAGACAGAATACCACACCAAAAAGTTATTGAAATCAAAATTATCGCTAACCCTGGGTTAGCTTAATCGGGCTTTGAACAACCCAGCCCAGATGTAGAATTCTAGACCAATCGATCGAGTATTTTCTTGGTTACTTAATTAGGACTGACAGAATATAAAGCCGAGGTCAACTGCTGAAGGAAAAAAAAAAAGGAATACCGTATTTTCTCGTTTAAATGCCCCGCGCGATTATTGTAAACTTGACTCGCGGATCAGGCGTTTATTGACTTTTGCAGTTTATTCCAGCCTTGAGTTTATTAGAGTTCTTATTCATTATTATTAGAACTTTAAAATATCTTATAATTATACCTTAAGATTACTATAACTCGAATATAAATTTCCTTGAGGGTCCTGTTTACGAATGTACGTGGGAGACCCGACGTTTAAAGGTCAAATGAACCAAAAAATTGACATATTTTCTTTTGTCGCTTTACCTTCACCAAACACTAAAAAGAACCATCCTAAGTAAGATTTGGGTAAAGATTTTTCTTCTCAAGCCTTTATAGAAAGATAAAAGATCAAAATCCGAGCATTTCCGAAAACTTCACGAAAACGTTTCTGAAATGGCCGCCTGATAGACTGGAGACTACGTGGCGTCAATGTTGGTCTTTCAGGGCGGGAAAACGTTCTGCGCAAGCTTCTGCGCATCCCTTATCGCCTGCGTTTGTTTGTCTCTTTCTGTGAGAGTTCTGACTGAGACTGAATGAAATACACGAGTTGCGAACGTTTGCTCCTTCTAAAGGCTTTTTTTGTTTTTTGTTGTTGTTGTTGTTTTTTCGTCACTTGAAAATTACTTTGGATTCAGAACAACCAATGATATAGTAAAACCAGATCATCCGTCAAGTCTGAGGAGGAATAAAACGTTTTGAACATTTCCAAAGAGGTTTGTATTTTCCTGATAATTGTGCATTCGATTTGTGAATTGATTTTGTGTCCAGTGCTTCGCCTTCTTTCGCCGGACTGAATTAAAACCCGCTTGTATTCTGTTATTAGTAGTTACGGTTAGTTTTTTTAAATGCCCATATTTATTTACCTTTGCAGAACCAGCTTTATTCTTGTCTTATGTCAAAGAACCGTAATGCTAACGCTTGCGAGTGAACAAACTTGAGCGCCTAAAACTTCCTCGGAACTTTAGAAGGCCAGCAAGCTTACTCGAGAAGAAAAGACTACTTCGATCATTTTTCTGTTGCTCAAGTAATAATAGTCAGAGTTTTTTTCCTTTAGTTTTTTCAGTTTTAATTACATAGTTTTGTTATCTTTCTGTACGCAAATTTTCCTTTCTCTCTCTGTGAAGTAGCGGAGAACGACAACTGCCGGCAGTGACTCCAAAACAATCGACTCTTTGCCCGTAAACAATTGCTGGAGCTGGATTTGACTGAAGCGAGCAAAAAAAATCCTTATGTGCATTTTTCTGTATTTTCTGATGATTCAGTTTGTTGAGTTTAATTTGCGTGAATGAAGACCCTCGCATGGACCAGTTATTACTAAAAAAAGTAGCTAATCTAGCTAAGTAGTCGGAATCATGGCTTGGCTGCGAAGCTTGCAACTGATCTTTTGCTTTTAAGATCTTTAAGTAGGTTGTTTCCGTACAGAAAATTCTCTTCTTCTTTGTCAGCAGGTATAAGAGCCTTAAGCCTTATGTTTTTTTAATGAAAATTTGTTGTTTTGCAACCTTATTGAAGCTTTTTTTAGTTCACTTAAGCTGAATTTTATGCATGATGGAATTGTTCTTTGCTTGTCGCATCTCTTTGCCAGCTAAAGTGGCGTCTATGGTCTTTAAAGTGACCTCAATCGGTAATTAAATCTTAAACATAATTGGAAAGAAGTTTTTGCAATAATGTAACTTAAACTTTGTTTGAAGGAAATCTTACTTACGCGTAGGTTTTTAACAGGTATTATGCACGTTCAACTTGACAACACAAAGCAAAATTAATCTGCGCGAAACGATCAAGTTTAAAAAACTATGGTTGCTTTGAAAACGATCTTGGGGAAGATTTACTAGATAAAGATTAACTCTTTTTCTGCCCACATATCAACGTTTATATTTTAGTGATCTGCGAAGCTAGAAGTGTCCGATCGGGCTTGGGTTTTAAAATATCAGCTCGAGTGCGACAAAGTTCAGTGACTTCAAACACATTGTGGACAAACTTGAATTTCTTTGGGCAGATTATTATACAAAGATATTTTGTTTTTGTGTCCACGGTGGAGCTCCGGACCTTATATATCCAGGAACTTCCTTTTATGAACACATTTTGTAAATGCATCTTGAAAAAAATCGGACTTACGCACGCACATTTCCAGTACAACTCAAGGAAATTAGTAAATGTCATTAAAGTCCGTTTTACTATGATGTATTCTTCGAGAAAATTAAATAATAAGAAGGTTATAACCACAGCTTGCAACTTTTGGAGACAAATTGCCTGTTCTTTCCGCCGCACAAACCACTTCTGCGCCAAGTCGCGCAACTCGAAAAACTCTGTTTTGAATTTCCCGCTTTTTTTCACCTGACCAACATTGACGTCACAAGCTGTTTTTTCCGACAATTTTTACGACCGCTCTACGATAGACTACGAGTAGTCCCCCATTTTTCCTCAGGGATAGTAGAGCTAGCAAAACGCGAGCGCGCGTGAAAATCAACCCACGCGAGAAAAGGCGACACGCGGCGGGGAGAGAGCTCATTTTTCTCTCTCCCGCCGCGTGTCGCCTTTTCTCGCGTGGGTTGATTTTCACGCGCGCTCGCGTTTTGCTCGCTCTACTATCCCTGAGGAAAAATGGGGGACTACTCGTAGTCTACTCTACGAAGATAAGGGCCAAAAAACAGCAATTTTTAATTGCAAATATCTCGGAGATACTTGCTTCAATTGAGCTGAAACTTCATAGTATGTTTATTTGGTTCATATTAAACACATTCCACTAGAATTGAACTAAAATAAAAAATGTCGAATTTTTGGTTCATTTGACCTTTAATCGAGAAAATACGGTAAGGTCAATATTTCTGCATCAGGAACTAAGAAGCTTTGTCAATAGTATTAGGATTTTGTTTGTTTTAACTTAGTCCAGTCCCTGAGCTCTCCCGTCCCCGCTTTTTATATAGGCTGCTTATAATGACCAGCGCGAGTACTCGAACAGAGCTACTTAGACGAAACTAGCCAATTAAAACGTAAACTGAGAACAAAGGACTGATATCTTTCTCATGAAGGCAAGTATTAAGGGTCTGTTTGACATGAGTAAATAAAGGATAAACTGTAATGTAAGGACCACCTGTACTGACATCAGCGGGGTGAAGTCGGATCTTGGTTTAGATCAGGATCAGCAGTGAAAAATAAACTAAGCTAAACTATAAAACCCATTGAAAGGCTGACTGGACGGCTAATAATGATAAATTTAATGCCCAATATTTCGGTTAGACAAGACTAACCCTCCTCAGGGGCTACACTGAAGCTAAGACTTAAGATAAAATTCTGTGAATGCACAGCCATAGAAAACCTTTCAGCATTCACAGAATTTTATCTTCAGCGTCTTGCCCAAGGTTTACCTTCCTTTGTCAAGGACACCACTCATTTGTTGCAAAAAATTGAAGATCTAAACCGAACGGGTTCTTTTCCAAAAGAAAGCCTTCTAGTATCGTGGGATGTTGTAGCCATGTTTCCTAATATAGACAACGATTTAGGACTTAATGCTATATCAAGGAGGCTCTAAATTCTCGGGCAACAAATTTTCCATCGACTGAATGTATTTTGGAAGCTGTTAGAATTTGTCTGGAACATAACAATTCCCGATTCCAAGATGAAAATTTCCTCCAAATTCACGGGACGGCCTTGGGGCCAAAAAATGCATGCAGCTATGCAGATATTGTCATGGGGGTCATAGACAAAAAAGCCAAATCAGGGACTATTCAACCCAACTTATTATGGTGGTATAGGGACGATATTTTCGATCTTTGGACCCGGGGGCAATATAAATTGATTGAGTTCACTGAGTTTATAAATTCCCTATATCCCACCATCAAGTTCACCCTTGTCTATTCTCCGACATCACTGAACGTCTTGGATCTTACACTTAACCTTGTCGAGGGATATATCCAAACGGATATCTACTCCAAGCCTACAGACAATCATATTTATTTGCTGCGCAACAGTGCCCATCCAGCTCACTGCACAAAAGCCATTCCATTTGGTGTTGCCACTAGGGTTAAAAGAAATTGTTCCACCCCTGAATCTTTTGAAAAACGAAGCATTGGATATCAGAATTATTTAATTAATAGGGGCTATAACCCTAACCAGGTTAGACAACAATTTGATAAAGTAAGATCAATTCCCAGAGAGGACCTACTTGCCCCACAACTAAGGAGTCCAACAAAATGTTTCCACTGGTTTTGGATTACAACCCCAATTTACCCAACATTGGCAAAATCTTGCATTCATATAAACATCTCATTTATGATTCTCCCTCCCTTACAAAAATATTCCCCAAAGGGTCTGTTATTCCATCGTTTAGGAGACCTAACAACATTCAAGACATTCTTTCACACCCCCATAAAATTAATGATAGTAGCTCTGACGAGCGTGGTTGCTTTAAATGCAAAGGTTAATGCGATCTTTGTCGTAATTTCTTAGTTGAAACGGACCATTTCACCAGCGCTAGCTCGAATAGAACTTATTCTATTACACAACACCTCCACTGTATATCCAAGAACCTCATATACCTAATCACTTGTAGTAAATGCAATGTGCAATATGTGGGTTCCACAAGTAAATAAATGAATTCAAAGTGAGATTTCGAAATCATAAATCAGCTATGAATACAAACAAGAACACTTATGAAGCTGCTAAACATTTCAACAAAAGTTCTCACGTTCTCTCTGATTTCAGTTTTATTATCATTGAACAAATTTCCAACCTTAGTGACGATAATAGCATTGATGAACGCCTGCTAACGAGAGAAGCTTATTGGAGTGCGCAACTTTACACCCTCCAGCCATATGGTTTAAATAAAAGATCAGAATTCAGTTCCAGGAATAGAATAAAAGATAATTAACAATTGACGACGTTTTTATTTTTATTTTTCTCACAAGTGTTCCTGTTACGTAATACTGTAATACTGTGATACTACAAATTTATCGCTCTAGGGCCTGATCAGGGAATTTGTTATAGGGCTGTGATTATAGCGCTTTTCAAATACATGCGTTCAGGGGCCTCATTTAGGGACCAGTCATAATTTAAGTTGGAGTGGGGAGTGGAGGAGAAATTGTTTTTTATTCCAAATTTTTTCCAGACCCCCACTAATAGCACCCAAGTTTTTTAGGTACCCCCCTTCAATCATGTTAAAAGATTTAAGGGCCCCCCTTTCTTATACATAATACCCAAATGGTAATAGCAAATAACATTTTCTTTACTTTACCGTTCTTACTCACTGTCACTTCCGAATGTGCCAACTAACAACAGAGAAGCATTTCACACTAAACTGAGAAAGAGATTTCACCTAGAGCCTCTCAAACAGCTTATAGAGCAAGGATATATCAGTGATTGTGTTATAATTGAGATAAGACAAGCCATCGAAAGGTGAGAGGCCGACAGGACCGCTTCAAGGAAGAAAGAAGGTAATCATCCAAAACTTACTGCTTTTTATACGAGCAGTACATGCTCTAATAGCAAAAAACTTGACGGTGACACAGACAGTGAGTCCACATCAACCTCATCTACAAATATTGATTCGGATAGTGAGATTGCATAACATGACTTTATGCATGTAATCATTTGTTAAAATGCCGATGAAATTGTTTCAGTGTTACACAATAATGGATGTTGTGTTGATGCACCTACTATGTGAGCATTAAATCTTTTTGTAAAAATGCTGATTAAATTGTTTTAGTATTACACAATATAGGACTTTGTGTAAAACTTAATCAAAATCAGGTCCTTTAATACTCAAACATCATGCTGCTCAGTAGGGATGCTACTTAAATGAAACTTGAAGACCCCCAAGGTCATCTTTTGGCATTTTAAGGCCCCCCATATTCCATCCCAAAAAAAATTGAAGGCCCCCCAATTTCTCCTCCACCCCCCCCCCC